ATATATATATATATATATATATATATATATATATATATATATATATATATATATATATATATATTTGACCCGATGTTGGTTGCACTAACTACTACTCTTCCAGTGTTTAGATTTTAACCTTTAGATATTAACCTTTCGTATCTGCTTGAAATGAATTTATCAGCCTTGATTATAGAAAGAATGTTGTACCGTTGGATGTACCAGACTTAACTTTAATGTGTCTTTTGATAAAAACATTTCTGACTTTTATAGTTGTATTTGATGCTTTGTAACTGATAATTTTTTATGAAATAAGTATGATACTGAAGCCAATAAAGATTATGAGGATGAAGCGAAATTAGAAGCAAATGAACTTATTTTTGGCGAAAACAATTAGGCTATTTGTGATATTGATTTATCAACACAGGCACTCATTAAAGATTAGTATGTAAACCAAATTCTTTCATTACATTAAACTTTTTTTTTCATTTACACTTAACAGTTAACATATTTAAATGAGAGTTCATTTTGGTCACCAAATTTTAGGTAATATAAGCTTCTTACATTTTGAACATAAAGTTTCATTGTGTTTGTTTACCTTTAAATTTTCTACTAGGCAGAAAAAAGAATAAGTGTATGCATTATTTTAGAGTTACTGATTGTTTTGGTATTTTACCACGTAAATTACACTGACAAGGTTGTGAATGAGGATTAAATTCAGTCTTCAATTCTTCACTCTATTTCTGAGTCGTTTGTGGTCACGATGCTTTTTTTAATGTACGCAATCATTGAAAATTACCAGACTTTTTCACCAATAGCAGGACAATCAATAAGCTTTTTTGTTTAAGTACTAAGTTTTTATACCTGCTGACAACAATAGCATTCATCATAAGGAGGTTTTGAAATCATACTTAAGCGAAGTGTTGTCGATGTCAGTTTTTTGATAATATTGTTTATGGTATGATAACATAGCAAAAATTATTCGGATATACATCTCATCTGACAGTATGATATGAAACACCTTTTCATTTTTGTTTTGTTGGTTTGTTCGAACAGCGTAATTTTTTTCTGAGCCAAATATCTACAAACCCCACAAAAAATCCATAACGAAAATTTAAAAACTTGTTATGGATCTCCATCTAAGAAAAAGAAAAGTTTTTAGGTAAGTGTACTAAATAAAAAACAAGCTTTAACTTTATCTATTAAATAGTGTTTACACTCATTAACTTAATTAAAATAATAAATCAATAACAAATTGCATACAAAAAGATAAAATAAAGATAAGATTTAAAATTAAAAAAAAAAAAAAAAGAACTAAAGTTAAATTAAAAAAACTTTGTAATTTTTTTTTACATAAATGTTTTATTTATTAATATAAAGACATAGATCATATTACATAAATCATTAATTAAAATGGTTTCAGTTTGTGGCGGTAGCGATATATGATTTTTCAACAAGAAAAAAAAATTGAGTGCTAAGATCAGTTAAAAGTAATAAAAAGATAAAAGATTCATATAAACAAAATTATAAAAAGTTTTAAGTTTTACCGCTCATAAAAAAAGGTAAAAAGCCATAGTAATGTATAAACAATTTAAAGAATTCATCTTTACAAACTAATTACAAATATTATTCGTGAAAAAAAAGTAAATGTAAAATTTGAGTTTTTTATATTTTTTAAGTTGGTAAACTTAGCTTTTTTATTGCGTAGAGTATTTTAGAGTTTTGCTATTAAGCCCTCTAAACATAAAAAGCCCTAAAACTTTTTTCCTATTTTGTTCACAGCCTTCAATTATCGCAATTACTTGGAAAGCATCCATACTTGACATAAGTATAACATATAAATATTCGGAGTTTGCTCCATGTCTGGAAGTTAGATACCTGTCTGAAGTTAGATGCGGCACCCGTGCCTATAACCACTGCACCATGGCTGCTTAAAATTTTGAAATATAAGAGTTTTCGAAATATTAAATTGCACTTTTTTACCCTATATAATATGAAGCAATAATAATTTAGTCGTGGGAGTATATAGTAATGCAGCCTTACAAATATCGTTAAATACTGTTTTTTGTAAGATCTTTCAATGTCTAAATTGATAATTTGGCATTTCTTTTTTGCTTGAATTTTCAATTTATGTTTTTTATGTATGTGAGCGAAAAGATTTTTTTTTTTTTTTTTTGCAATTCACCTCTCCAAGGCTGAGAAGGCCACTACAAATGAGGAAGCTAATTGTGTTTATAACCATCTCTCAATTCTCTAAATCTGAAACACAAACCTTGAAGAACAAGGAAGCTGCGCGGAGAAACTACCAGGGACGTGGTGAGAATCGAACTCGGAATCTCTCACTTTTGAAGAGCCTCTCCCTTGAGAGCACTCTCCCACTACACCACTACACCACTAGGGCGTCTAATGAGAGCAGGATGTTACTTTTCTATTATGTTTCTGTCAAACAAAAACTTTATCTTTTTGCGATAATGTTACATACATTTTTTAATAATATTTTGAAATTTATCAGAATGCTTGAATCACAAAAACAAAAATACACTCAACGCTTTGGTGAAGGCAAACGTTTTTTTTTTTTTTTTAAATTACTGTTCTTTAAATGGAAAAAACAAAATTTATAAATAATTTAAATTTTTAATTTTTGATTTTGTCTCAAATAAATAGGCTTCAGAAAATGCAGATCCTATTATTTTGAATTTTTTTTTTTTTTAATGTACAAACCTACTGAAAAAAAAAAAATAAAATAAAAAAATAACCTGACGTAAAAAATATCTAAAGTTTCTACTGAAAAAGACTGAAATGAGAAAGAGCCATTGAAAAAAAACTTACATAAAAATTTAAAAAACTTTAAAAAACTAAAAAACAATTTTCTTTAATAACTTATTTGATGTTACAAAATTACAAAATAGTTACAAATATATTTAACATATCAAAATAGCAATAAATATATTTCAAACTTTTAAACTCAAAATTGATTCTTATTTAAAATTGGACGTTGATAAATGACGTCAAATTTGATTATATTGTAATGTAAAAAATTGTCAGTTTGTCACTCGAAATTCAAAAATCGTGATAAGGTTTTTTAAAATGTGTTTTAAAAACATATTTCAATCTTTTAAAAGAAAATATGATTTTACAAAAAATAAACTCAAAAAATTTAACATCATTGGGAAAAAAAGTTGTCTCTCAAATAAGCAACAAGAACCAATTCTATTAAAATATAATAGAATGTGTTTTGAAGAAATTACAAATAGTTGTACATCATACAACCCCACCATAAGTTGTGGTTTAGAGAACCAAGAAGTTTATATTCCGAGAAAAAGTTTACTTGAACTGAAATACGACAGGCTGAAAAACAATAATGAAAGTATAAAGCAGTTCAATTGCGATCATGTGAATAACACTTTTTATTCCTACGTGGTTTGTCCGGAAACTTCGGCCAGGTACAAATTTTAGAAATAATTTTTAATTTTTGTTGAATCTCTGTTTTAACTTTTACTGCGCATGTTTTTTATAAATTACAAATAATTTAAAATATTAAATACATTTTTTCTATTAAAATTATTCAAAAATAAATATTCCGTTGCATAAATGTTCAATTTTTAATAAAAAATATGCTTACTTCTTTTTTTTTTTTTAAATGTCTATGTTTAATCTAATTTTTTCTTTAGATTTAAAAGAGTACTGTGGGCAAAGCCCCATCAACCAGTCGGACGCTGGACTAATCCACTAGTTTACCTCATATCTAAGATAAGGTATTGAGCTTTTTCTGTATCTGTTTTTATAATATAATTCATAAGGTAGAATGTAGTTAACACTACTAAGTACTGCTTTCTATTATCTCCAAAACTTGTTTGTGTAAGTTTATTTTTTTATTGTTAAACATAGTTCAAATATTAACTTCACAAAATAATAAAACATAAAACATTTATGTTGTATACTATTAAATACAGATTTCAGTACTGTAGTTTTTTTTAAACATTTTTATTTTTACTTAACTTACTATGACCATACCATCTAAAAGCTAGGTTTAAACAAGTATTGTCATATTTTTTTTTATACTATGGTGTTATTTTTTAATAATACAAAACGTACCTTGCTCCTTGTATTATAAGAGTAATACCATTGAATAAATCGAAAGATCTACTTGTTTATCCTCAGATACTCAATTATCATTGTAATCAGTTTCATTTTTGGTTAACTCATTTTTGTTCTTTTACTTTTAGTTTAGTTTATTAACAGTTTTATCAACAATAATAAAGCAAATAAAGCAATTTTTAATTAGCTTTTTTTTAACTTTTTTTTTTTGTTTTTGAGAAACTAAAAGCAGAAAAAAGTCAACAGAAAATATTTTTTTTTTTTTAATAAAATAAATGTACAAAGCAAAAATGCATTTATGTATTTATTTTTTTTTTCCGTTTGTTTTCTAGCTTAAATAACAGTTTTACATGCTTAGTATTTTATATATAAAAAAGTTAAAATGCTAGAAATTTGTTGTGACGTTGTTACGACGCTTTTACAACTTTGTTAAGTCAGGTTGTAGCTTAGTACTGGCAAAGTTTGTTTAACTTTGCAAATTGAGTTCAAAGGAAGCCAAATACCGAGTAATCGTTAAGCTATGATTACAAAGTTTATCGAATATTCTGTCCTCATAAAATTTTTTTCAATAAATTATTATTTTCTATTTGCTCCACTATTCGTTAAATAATTCGTTCAACTGATTGTTGAAATCCAGTTCAAAGTTCAAGAAACTGGATTTACCTTTTTAGTTAAGTCAGGTATAGTATTAGCTATGTTATTATTATTATTTTTTTCTCTAAAACTTAAAGATGATTTAAAAAAATCATTGAACCTAAATAAAGTGTAGAAAAACACTCCTCAATAGGATATGTTGACTTTAGGAAAATTTAATTTTGACTATTCAATATTGAAAAACTGAATATCTCAAAAAAGTATTAGTTATGTTGTTAAATATTTTTTGTTCTTTTAAAGACAAAATGAAGATATGAAGTTGGTAAAATCGCCAAAACAAAATGTTTCACCCAGCCGAAACAACATCTGGAATTATACTCCTAAAGATGATTTATTCACATTGGGGAACAAACACCCTTCTCAACTTTCTGCTGAGCAATATTTGGTATATATAAATTACAAAGAATATGATAGGTAAGAATTATTTTAGTTAAATGTATTGCGAAATGGAACTTTCGTTTTTTTTTTATAAATACACATTAAAAAAAAATAAAAATCTAAAAACTGAAAAATAAAAAACTAAAAAAAGCAGTTACAGTTTATCATATTTTCTAACTTGCACTTTAATATTTAATAGAAATATATAATAAATAGCTTAATATAGTTAAGAAAATTGTCTCACCTGCCGTGGACAAGCAAAATTGAGCAAACAGTTTGTATGCTTGATTTTTGCCACGCCTATGTCTAAGCACTATTAAGTTGATACACTTAGGCGCAATCGCAGTAAAGTTAAGAATATATTGACATCCTGGAAACAAAAAACATTTAAGTGAAAAAAACGCATGTCCTACGTGGGTTCCATGTGAGAACTGTGTGGGATTCATGGGAACCAATATGGAGCCCAGGTGGGACACGAGTTGTTTTTTTTTTTTTTCTTAACTAGGATATTATAAGAAATTCTTAGTTTAAAAACTCTTTATACAAGAAGAGTTAGAAGAGATATGATACAACGTAAATTTAAATTTATGTATTACATATATAACTAAAGTTATTTTATAACGTTGTTAAAGTTTAACATTTTTTTAACTGTTTAACATTATTTTATACTATTTTATCAATTATAATTTTTAATATTGCAAGTTACTATTTGAATAAAATAATATAAAATAAATTTTTTTTAAACTCTATAAAGACTACACAATACTGCACCATCATCGTCAAAACAAGATTCCAAACAAACAAAATGCTGTTATTGTTCCTGGCAAGAACCGTTTTTTTTTTAAGGAAGTTTTGTTTTGAAAATATTGGTATGTCTATTTTTAAAAAGTTTTTAAATCTTTATTTGTATTATCTGCACATTAACTATTTTGTTTAAAACATTGATATATTAATTATGTCGATTTAATGCTTTTTGACAAAACGTTCTTGTGTTTCTTTTAAATATTTCTACATGTATTTGAATTTCTAAAGCGGGTTTGTGTTTTTGATGGGTCGGGTTAAAAGTTTTCATTGTAAGTAATTTTTATATAAATTTTACATCATAAGTTTAACCTAAAAATATTAAACATACTTATTTTAGTTTTTATATTATTTTTAGAAAGGTATTAAGAAAATTTGTTAAACACTGGAAAAACACAAACTTAAAGATAGCCACGAATATATTCGAAATGATGTATCATGAGAACATTCTTTATATATCTTTGTTTTATTATTGTCATATTATGTTGAATAGTATAATAAAAAACTTTGTAATTTATATGTGAATGAATTTTTATAATTATAAATGTAATAATAAAGTATTTGTGTCAAAACTACCCCAAATGAAGAGACTATTTATTGATTGTAAATTTAGTATAAAAAAGGTATTTAGTACTTTTTTTATACTAAGTTTACATTTATCGATAAATTTTTCTTTTTATCTAATAATTTTTTTAAATTTTACATATTGTTACCAATAAAGTTTCTACATTTAAAATGATATTCGTGTATATATGCGACTACGCTAATTATATATCCGTTTACTTTTATAGGTAGAAACTATATTTATAATAGTTATGAGTTTAGACGATACTTTTAGAAACTAAAAGATTTAAAAAGGTTATTATTAATATGTAAATTAATTTTGTATAAATTAGTAAAGTTAAGTAGTTGATTGGCGCGTTGCGCCCTTGCTAAAGTTTTAACGTTTTATAGTTTTAATACTACTCCTTTTAACATTATTTCTCCTCTGTTTTCATTTACTTGATCAATAATTGTTGGTATACATCTAATCGTGATTTGCAGAGCTTCATTCTCTTTAGTTTTCTAGAACTCAGAAATGCCTATAATTAATGTATATTGCTTTTTATTTGCACAAACCATATATTATAACATTATGGAATGAATGTAATTACAACACACCATTTACTAAATTTAAATCAGGAGTTCGAACTGCTAAATGAAAATATAAAATTTATATCTTCAAGCCATACATTTGTTTCAGTACTTGGTTTTAAACGTTGTTGTTTTTTTTTTTTTTTTTTTTTTTTTTTTTTTTTTTTTTTTTTTTTTGTCTTTTATCAAAGATTTACAAATACGTGATCATATCTATCAATTATATAATCATATCAATTAACTGATTTGTTGACTTACTCATCACAGTGAAAATGTTTTTTCGTAATTCTAAATTTTTGCTTTTGTTTAAGGTTGTGAATCATCATCTTCTTGTAAAAGACCGCAATTGAGCCTTGCAGCATCAGACCAGCTTAGTGGTAAGCTCAGAAACATTTAATCTTTAATGCAATGATGTAGAAATCCATTACATTTTTTTTGTATTTCCCACCTCTTTTAGAAAAGGGTTGTATCTCCAAAATGCAATTAAAAATTTGTATTGTCTGATTGTCAATTTTATATTATTAACTGACCTTAATATAATACAAGGGTTGAATTAAGATAGTGAATTACAATTTTTGTAAAAATATCTGGTCTTCAAAGTTTTAGTTTATGGAAAACCATGAATTTATGGAAGAGGCTTTAATTTGTTAGGTAAACTTGCTACAAATGAAACTTTAAAGACTAGATATTCTATAATTCTAGGTTTTTTATCAAGATGATATATAGATAAATTATGATTAACTATATATATATATATATATATATATATATATATATATATATATATATATATATATATGTATATTTACATTAAATATACATATATATATATATATATATATATATATATATATATATATATATATATATATATATATATATATATATGTATATTTACATTAAATATACATATATATATATATATATATATATATATATATATATATATATATATATATATATATATATATATATGTATATTTACATTAAATATACATATATATATATATATATATATATATATATATATATATATATATATATATGTATATTTAATGTAAATATACATATATATATATATGTATATTTACATATATATGTAAATATACATATATATATGTATATTTACATATATATGTAAATATACATATATATATATATGTATATTTACATATATATGTAAATATACATATATATATATGTATATTTACATATATATATTTATTAAACAAAATTATTTCTTATCAAAGAAATAATTCCCAAATAGCTACAAGTATAAATTACTAAATAAACACATTATTTATATGTCCCTGTGGTGTAGCAGTAAGCGCGTAGGAATTAGTTTCGATAGACCGAGGTTCGATTCCTGCCTAAGGCTGCGTTTTTTAGTTTTCAAAAAACACGTTGGATTTACATCGGAATGCCGACGTCGCGCGATGTCAGTTTATCCGACGTCAAATAACATTTCCATTTCCAACGTAAACCCAACGTCGATCCGACGTCGAGATCCGACGTCGCTCGACGTTCGTTCGACGTCGAAATGCCCACTGGGTATATATATATATATATATACATATATATATATATATATATATATATATATATATATATATATATATATATATATATATATATATATATATATATATATATATATATATATATGTTGCTGCTAAAGATCAACTTAAGCAGTATTTATTTGAGTTATCAAAATGTGTACAATGTCAAGTTTGAACTTCTGAAACGAGGCGTCTATTAACACACAAAAAACTTAGAATGACTCAAGTTTTATTGTAGCGTATCAAACCATTTTGCAGCTGTAGGACACGAGGGATAGTTTATATAAGATGTTTGTTTAAGTTCAACAATTTGAATGATTTAGATTAATCAAATAAGCACTATGTTAAAGGACGCATGTTGTGGGTATAATGATTTTTAGCAGCAAATCGAATGATATATCTTAATATTTTTATATTTAAAGTATATTACCATGCTGCATAGAAATCTTGAAATAAGTAGAAATTGTTTAATAATATTTCTGTAAATAACTTGATCCTTTTCAGTGATAATTTATACCTACATATAATCATATTTAGATCCCTTTGAGAAGCTACGGTTTCCACTAAGCGATGCTAGTAAGGTTATTTTAAGGTCTAGTTTTTTTAGATTTGATATTTATTTTTTGACTTTTTTTTTTTCTATTCACAGAAATTCAATGGAATTTTTATTTAGTTGAACTTTGAAAATGAAAATCCTTTCAAAAATTATTCCTGTGTAAAATGTGTTGAATAGATTTCTTATTTTAAATGTCTTATTTTGAAATAAAAAAAATATTTTGAATTATCTTTTCGTTTTTGATAGTCCTTAGTCAAAAACGGATTTTTAAATTGTTATGGGTCTACAACACTTAATTTCAACAAATTAAATTGAAAAGTTACGTCATAGAAGACAAGAAAAATGTCAACATCTGTTTTTGATAACTTGTCTTTCATAGCAAATCTGAGAGGTACAAATAGTTAGTTTGCTTTAAGTACTATATAATATAATACATCGTTGCATATTCATTTTGATAATAATAAATTTCTTTAGCATACTCATTTATTATATTTTTAGACTGTTTACCGTTGGACTTCTGTCCCAATTTAACTTAGTGGGGACAAAAAGAAAGGACCGCGGTGGAAAAAAGAGGGGGTTTAAAGGATCAGCTGTTTTTGAATTAGTAGTCGGTAATTCTAATGTGTTTCACTCAGCTAATAGAATTTCATTTGCTTATTCATATTACAATAAAAGTGACAATTTTTTTATGTCTTTTTATAACAAGATAAAAACAAAAAAAGATGTCTTTTCGATGTCGAAAAAAGATGTCTTTTAGATTTGAATAATTGACTAAATAAAGGCGTCTTAATGACGCATTTTCATTACTTTTCATGACAAGATAAAGACAAAAAAAGACGTCTTTTCGATGTCGGAAAAAGATGTCTTTTAGATTTGCAAAATCAACTAAAAAAAGACGCCTTAAAGACATCGTAAATAAGACTTTTAAAGACGTCTTTTCGACGTTTTTTTTCCCACTGGGGTCTTTTTATAATCACCCATAATAAAGACGTGGAACCCAAAATAAAGACGACGTCTTTTAAAATGACGTCTTCAAAAAAGAGGTCGAAAAGACGTCAATTGGTTGTTTATAAGGAAATCATTATTTGCTTAAGAAAATTAAAAATAATTTTTGCCAATAGAACCTCAGTATCGTAACTACGATATCTTTATTAGGTTCTGGTTGGCCCGTTTTTTGTTTACAAAATACTTTTATAATTTTTTTTTTATGTGAAACGTTTTTGCGTAGAAAATTTAACTTTTTTTGGTAAGCGGGTTTATTTAATAATTTTTATAATAAAGTAATATATTATGTAAATTATACATAATAAAAATGCATATATATTTTATAGTTTATTTTTAGACTAATTTTTTATAGTATGGTGCTTGAAGAACGTTGTTTATTACATATTAAATTAAAATATTTATTTTCAGACGAAAAATAAAACCTGTAAACAATTTCTCTCTATATTTACTTGTTCAAGTGCCAGTGAAACGAACGATAGAAAAAAAGAAGAATCAGTAGGCTTGCAATTTTTTTTTTTTTTTTATATATATATATTTTTAAATGACCTGATAATTTTGTTGTTTTTATTTAATTGAATGATGAAATTGTTAATACAAAAGATTGGCTTTTTCAAGGAAATAACATATTTAACTTTTATGTTAAATATGTTATTTCCTTGTTAACTTTTGTCTGCCATTAACAAAGTAATTAAAAATATACACATAATGACAACAGATTTATAATTAGAACTGTTTGCAAAATTTTTGGTTTGGATACAAAAAACCAAGTGAAAATGATACTGAAAAGGTACACTTTCTTATATATAAACATCATTGCAGCTTTCTAGTCTTCATTTTTGTTTATGTGTATTTCATCTGTGTTGCTAATGATATTGCCAGTTTTTATGATTTTGTGTTGTTAAGTAAAGCATCCTTATGTTTCAGGCTAAAATAAAACTTTGGTTAATACTTTTATCCAGTTTTAATGAATAACAACTCTCAAATTATCTTTTTGTTTTGATAGTCTTTTGTCAATAACGGATTTATAAATTGTTATGAGTCTACAACACTTAGTTTCATGGAAATTCAATTAAAAAGTCATGCCATAAAAGACAGAAAAATATCAATATCTGTTTTCATTAACTTGGCTTTGATAGCAAATCTGAGAGGTGCAAATGTTTAGCTTGATTTAAGTACTACATAATAAAATACATCGTTTTACAGTCAATTTGACGGTTGTAAGTTTAGCACACTCATTTATATACATTTTTAGACTGTTTACCGTTTGACTCCTGTCCCAATCTAACCTAGTGGGTTCAAAAAAGAATGGACCGCGCTGGAAAAATGAGTGAATTAAAAGGATCAGCCCTTTTTGAATTAATAGTCGGTAAGTATAATGTCCTCCACTCAGATTATCAAGTTTCGTTTGCTTAATTTGTATTACATTTAAGCAGTAGACTGTTTTTTATGTTCACTTATTTTTTAGAAGTGGTAACCAGCTAGAAGTCGTAACCTGCTCGTATGAAAAGATTTCTCGACGTGAAATTGTTAATTTTATTCAACAACGCCAAGAAACAAAGCTCGCTCATGAAACAGAAAAGAAAGAGAAAGATGAAAAAATATTCTGTTGAACAATATTATTAATTTATTTATAAATTATTCTCCTATATTTAAACATATAAAAGATGTAGAAAATGCTTCCTCTTTTATATTGACATCTAAAAGAGGGTTTTTTTCGGCATTGGAAAGAGCTTTTTGTCATACTTTGTATGAAGAGCCATTATCATTTTCATTTGATAAAAACAGCTTATCATATATGAAAAGTAGGAATACTATAGTGTATAGGATACTATAGTATACTAACAAGTATGACAAAAAAAGTCGTTCGGACCCCGAGCAAAAAAACTTTTTTAGAAGTGCATAATTGATAAACAAAGACGTCTTAAAGACGCATTTTTATGTCTTTTCATGACAAGATTAAGACAAAAAAGACGCCTTTTCGATGTCTAAAAAAGATGTCTTTTAGATTTGCATTTTCGACTAAAAAAAAGCGTCTTAAAAACGCATTTTTTATGTCTTTTTATGACAAGATTAAGATAAAAAATGACGTCTTTTCGATGTTAAAAAAAGATGTCTTTTAGATTTGCATAATTGATTATAAAAATACGTCTTAAAGACATCGTAAATAAGACTTTTAAAGACGTCTTTTTTCCCACTGGGTAAAGACGTGGAGACCCTACGTGCAAATGATAAGCACAAAAGAAGATGTTTTTGGTTTTTTGCTTTTGCTAACATTCAATATGTGAGAGATTCTTACTTTGAAATTGTCATTTTAGTTTTTAAAATTGTTTTCTTTTAATTACTTGAGTATTTATACATACACTGACCGTACGTTGGCCTGACACACTTCAATTGGAGGCTAGGCCAACAAACAGGTTTAAGGAGTTTTTTAAAATTACTAAAAAGAAAATATTTTTATAATTTAATGCTCTAATGACAGGTACATTTCAAAAAGAAGGAGCAGGAACATGGTACTGTTCATAAACAACATTTAGAATGTTCTGTATGAACAGTCATATTTAACATTCGAAGACAACAACATAGGCGACAACAATTGAAATAATAGGGGTGATATATATGTATCGTCCATAACTCAAATCTTATTTTATACCAAATATGTTTTTAATATGTTTATAGCTATAAAAATAGCCTTATTTAAATTTTTTATGGGGAAACTTCTTTCGTTTCATATATTTTATGGCTATGGTAAAACCAGGTTAATATAAATTTTTTTATTGATAAATTGACACTTTATCCTCAGCAGAATGAAAAATTAGATATTGAAATTAAATATGCGCGAATTTGATTTTCATTGTAACTATGTTGGTTGCACTAATTAACACTCTTCAAGTGTTTAGATTATCCAATATTAACATTTTGTATCTGCTTGAAATGAATTTAGCAGCCTTGATTATAGACAGAAAGTTGTATCGTTAGATGTACTTGACTTAACTTTTGATAAAAGAATTTCTGACTTTTATAGCTTTATTTGATGCTTGGTTACTGCTTACATAAAATTTTGGATAAAGTAAAAACAAAACTGGTTAAAAAACAAGATCGATAACATATAACACCTATTTAATTTATAGTTATAATAGTTATGATAAACATAAAATATAAAATTAAAAATCATTATTACTCTGGATCCTCCATTTTTTAACTTAACTTAATTTTCACTATCTTTAGCTATCTTTTGCTTAAGAGCATAGAGTGCAGTATCTTCAACTATTCTTAGAATATCATTTATCCACTGTCGGAATAAAATTTGCAGAATCTCTTATTAAATAAGTATCATACATAAGCCAATAAAAATGATGAGGATAAAGCTAAATAAGAAGCAAATGAATGAAAATAATGAAACTAATTTTTAATGATACTCATTACAAATTAGTATCTAAATCACATTCTTTCATTACATTAATTTTTTTAAATAAATTGATTGAATAAATAAATTACATTCAAAATTAAAGATAAGATTTGAAATTAAAATCAAAAAATCTTTGTTATCTTTTTTACATAAAAATATTATTTACAGTAAGGTGCAGAATTATAAACTCACCTCTATAGAAATTTCAAAACTATCTTTTAAAGTTTTTTGAACAAAATCCATTTTATAGATCAGTTATTGAAATAAACAAAATAATTTACATGAATCTATTTATGCTGCAATTGACGCAAACTATAAAACCGTTTAAAAACGTGGTGTACAATTATAACCTCGTTATCTAAATTGAAAAAAAAGCCATTAAAAACTTGTTTCAACTTAAATTTATTACACTTTAAAATTATAAAATGCATTCTAATTAATGCCAAGAGGAATTACACTTTCCGATAAAAAAAATGGCGAGATTGAAGCCTTCAGGTCAGTTTAGGGTTTATCAAACAGGAAAACTTCTTGCAATCAAACGCATTCGTCTTCAATATCCTAAAGACCACATGAATTGGGAAAAAGAATGGCAAAAAGTTGTAGGATATGATAAAAAAAATTCTTTCTTGATGATCCAAATGGCTTCAATTACTTTTTGCATGACATTAGAAATAAGAGATTATTTTTTAAAAAAAGGGCTACGGGTGGCGGAGAAGTAATGATTTGGGGTGCGTTTAATTATTTTGAAAAAACTTCGATTGGCTTTATTACTACAAAATTAAATGTTGAAGGATATTGAAATTTGTTAAATGGTCATTTGAACGATATTTCGCAAAATTTTGGTAAAACCAATTTTATTTTCCAGCAAGAAAATGCGCAACTCATAAAGCAAATTCAAATACCTCATGGATTTCTAGCAAGAAAATTCAATTATTAGAATGGTCAGCGCTCTCACCTGATTTAAATCCCATCAAAAATGTATGGGGCATCAAAGCAAGATGTGTTTATGCAGAATTGAAACAATATTCAAATGTCAATGAATTAAAAAAGGCAATTGTACACGTTTAGAAGAACATATCTCTTGCAGATCTTAGAAAACGTTTGGAAAGTATGGTAAATCGAATATTTGAAGTTATTCAGGATAGCGACAATAAAACAAAGTATTATTAATAAATTCAAATTGCAATACAAAACATTATGGAATTTTGTAGAGTAAAATTGAAATAAGGTTATAATTTTGCACCAGCATTTTTCTAAAACTTTCAAGTCAATTACAAAATGAAAATAGAGTCTATTACAACTGAAATAATAATTAAGTAAGACATTAAGCAATTGAATATTTTAAAAATAATTATTAAATTATTTGTGAGATCTTGAATTTTGGGTGAGGTTATAAATTTGCACCGCACTGTTTTTTATATAAAAACATAGATCATATTACTTAGATTATTAAATAAAATGGTGTCACTTTGTGGCAATGGTAAGATGTGATTTTTGAACAAGAAAAAAAATTGAGTGCAAGATCAGTTAGAAGTAATAAAAAGATAAAAGGTTCATAAAAATAAAAATATAAAAAGTTTTGAGTTTTACCGCTCAAAAAAAAAGAATAAAAAGCCATACAAATCTATAAATAAACCAAAGAATTCATTTATACAAAATAGTTGCAAACATTATTTAAGAAACAAAATTGTAAAATTTAAGTTTAGTATTCTTTTTTAGTATTTTTTCTTAAATGACCACCGTTACGCGGTAACCGAACTTAGACGATTTTACTGTATACTTTATTTTTAATGGTATGAACATTTACCAGGATATAATTTACAATTTAAAGTGTTCTTAGAGTTACCCATTTATATTTAAATCACTTTTGTAAAAAAAATTAAACGTCAAAAAAGCACGAAATTAATTTGGCTTTTTGTTTACAGGCTCGAATTATCGAAACTATTAGGAAAGCATCTATACTTGACATAAGTATTACATATAAAAGTTCGGAGTTTGGTCTATGTCTGGAAGTTATAAGCATTTTTTGATCTTGAAGATCAAAAAATGCTGGCTCAACCTCTGACTATAACCACTGCGCTATGGCTGCTTAAAACGTTAAAATATATGAGTTGTCGAAATATTAAATTGCACTTTTTTACTCTATATCATATGAAGCAATGGTAATTTAATCAACGGAGTATATAGTGATGCGGCCGAATTAATATTCTTAAATACAGATTTTTGTAAGATCTTTCAATGTCTAAATTAATAATTTGGCATTTCTTTTTTGTCTGAAGTTTCAATTTAAAGTTTATGTTTTTATATATGTGAGCGAAAAGTTTTTTTGTTTTTATTTGTAATTCACATCCTCAAGACTTAGGCCATTACAAATGAGGAGGCACTTGTGTTTATAACCCTATCTCGACACTTTATTTCTGAAATACGAACCTTGACGAACAGGGATGCTGCGCGGAGAAACAAGATTAATAGTATCAAGAACGTTGTGGGAATTGAACTCAGAACCTCTTACTTATGAAGTGAGCGCTGCACCACTACCGCATTAAATGAGAGCGGAATGTAAAATTTCTATTATGTTTCTGTCTAACAAAAAGTTTATCTTTTTACGATAATGTTATATACATTTTTTAAATAATATTTTGAAAAATATTAAAATAAAAAAAAAAAAAAAATACACTTAATACTTCGATGAGTACATTAGTTTTTTTTTTTTAATTTACAATACTTTAAATGAAAAAAAACAAAGTTCATAAACAAACTAAATTTTTTTTTTTTTTTTTTTCTAAAATAAATAGGCTCCGTAAACTGCAGATCCTATAATTTCGAATTCTTTTTTATTTCAATGTAAAATATATGTAAGGTTATTTATTTTAGAAAAAATAAATAACCTAACGCAAATCTATAAATTTTTCACTTCTCAAACAGACTTAACTGAGAAAGAGTCGTTGAAAAAAAACTTCGATAAAAATAACTTTAAAAAACCAAAAAACATTTTTCTCTAATAACTTATTTGATATTACAAAATTTCAAAAAATTACAAATATATTATTACAAAGTTAAGATAAGAAAATAGCAACTTCTAATTTTAAATAAGAATTAATTTTAAGTTTAAAACATTTTTAAATTTAAAATTAATTCTTATTTAAAATTAAAAGTTAATAAATGAAGTCAAATTTGATTATACTATAAAGTTAAAAATAATCAGTTTGTCACTCGAAATT